CTTTTATTCCGTGGTATATCTTATCTTATATTCCGTGGTATCTCTTATCTTATATTCCGTGGTATCTCTTATCTTATATTCCGTGGTATATCTTATCTTATATTCCGTGGTATCTCTTATCTTATATTCCGTGGTATCTCTTATCTTATATTCCGTGGTATCTCTTATCTTATATTCCGTGGTATCTCTTATCTTATACTTAGTGGTATCTCTTATCTTATATTCCGTGGTATCTCTTATCTTATATTCCGTGGTATCTCTTATCTTATATTCCGTGGTATCTCTTATCTTATATTCCGTGGTATCTCTTATCTTATATTCCGTGGTATATCTTATCTTATATTCCGTGGTATCTCTTATCTTATATTCCGTGGTATCTCTTATCTTATAGTTTCTGACATCTGTTATCATATACTTTGTGGGATCTCTTATCCTATACTTAGTGGCATATCTTATGTTATACTACTTAGTATTTCTTATCTTAAATTACGTGACTTATCTTATACTACATGGCATCTGTCATTTTATACTTAGTGGTATCTCTGATCATATATTTCGTGGTATCTCATATCTTATATTCCGTGGTATCTCTTATCTTATACTTCCTGACATGTGTTATCATATACTTTGTGGCATATCTTATGTTATACTACTTAGTATTTCTTATCTTAAATTACGTGGCTATCTTATACTACATGGCATCTGTCATTTTATACTTAGTGGTATCTCTGATCTTATATTTCGTGGCATCACTTATCTTATATTTCGTGTTATCACTTATCTTATACTTCATGGCATCTCTTATCTTATTTTTCGTGGCATATGGTCATTTATTGCATCTCTGACCTGAAATATATTTATATTTACCGTTAATCTGACCTGTCTAAAACTGTCATCCTATAGTACGGGACTGTCATCTTGTTGTGCGGTACTGTCATCCTATAGTACGGTACTGTCACCTTATTGTTCGGAACTGTCATCTTGTTGTGCGGTTCTGTCATCCTATAGTACGATACTATCACCTTATTGTTCAGTACTGTCATCCTATACTACGGAACTGTCATCTTATTGTGCTGTACTATCATCCTATAGTACGGTACTGTCATCTTATTGTGCGGTACACTTGTTGTGCGGTTCTGTCATATTTGTCACCTTATCTTACTGTCATCCTATTACGGGACTGTCACTTATTGTGCGGTCCTGTCATCCTATACTACATGGCATCTGTCATTTTATACTGTCATCTTGTTGTGGTACTGTCATCCTATAGTACGGTACTGTCATCTTATACTGTCATCTTATTGTGGTATCTCTTCATCTTATACTGTCATCGTGTTGTGCATGTGTATCTGTATGTTGTACTACTGTCGTATTGCTCTTCATCCTATATTACGGTACTGTCATCTTATAGTACATCTTGGTGCATCTGTCATTTTATACAGGACTGTCATCTTGTTCGGTACTGTCATCCTATAGTACGGTACTGTCATCTTATTGTGTAGTACTGTCTTCCTATATTGCCCTACTGTCTTGTTGTGTGGTTCTGACATCCTATAGTACGATACTGTCATCTTATTGTGCGGTACTGTCATCCTATAGTACGGTACTGTCATCTTATTGCGCGGTACTGTCATCTTATTGTTCAGTACCTTCATCTTGTTGTGCTGTACTGTCATCCTATTTTTTCGTGGCTGTCATATGGTCATTTATTGTGCGGTACTGTCATCCTAAATATATTTATACTGTCATCCTTATTGTGCGGTACTGTCTTCCTATAGTACGGGACTGTCATCTTATTGTGCGGAATTGTCATGCTATAGTACGAGATTGTCATCTTGTTGTGCGGTACTGTCATCCTATAGTACGGTACTGTCATCTTATTGTTCGGTACTGTCATCTTGTTGTGCGGTTCTGTCATCCTATAGTACGATACTGTCACCTTATTGTTCGGTACTGTCATCCTATAGTACGGGACTGTCATCTTATTGTGCAGTACTGTTCTCCTATAGTACGGGACTGTCACCTTGTTGTGCAGTACTGTCATCTTGTTGTGCAGTTCTGTCATCCTATAGTACGGTACTGTCATCTTATTGTGCGGTACTGTCTTCCTATAGTACGTGACTGTCATCTTATTGTGCGGTATTGTCATCCTATAGTACGAGAATGTCATCTTGTTGTGCGGTACTGTCATTCTATAGTACGGTACTGTCATGCTATAGTACGGGACTGTCATCTTATTGTGCAGTACCGTCATCCTATAGTACGGGACTGTCATCCTATAGTACTGTGCAGTACTCTCATCTTATTGTGCGGTACTGTCATCCCATAGTACGGGACTGTCATCTTGTTGTGCAGTATTGTCATCCCATAGTACGGGACTGTCATCTATATTACCCTACTGTCATCGTGTTGTGCGGTTCTGTCATCCTATAGTACGGTACTGTAATCTTATTGCGCAGTACTGTCATCTTGTTGTGCAGTACTGTCGTCTTACTGTGCAGTTCTGTCATCCTATAGTACGGTACTGTCATCTTATTGTGCAGTACTGTCATCTTGTTGTGCAGTTCTGTCATCCTATAGTACGGGACTGTCATCTTGTTTTACGGTTCTGTCATCCCATAGTACAGGACTGTCATCCTATAGTACGGGATTGTCATCTGATTTTGCAGTACTTTCACCCCATAGTACGGGACTGTCGTCTGATTGTGCAGTACTGTCATCCTATAGTACGGGACTGTCATATTATTGTTCGGTACTATCATCCTATAGCACGTGACTGTCATCTTGTTGTGCGGTACATTCATACCATAGTACGGGACTCTCATCTTATTGTGCAGTGTTGTCATCTTGTTGTGTTGTACTGTCATCCTATAGTACGGGACTCATTCTATAGTACGGGACTGTCATCTTATTGTGCAGTACTCTCATCTTATTGTGCGGTACTGTCATCCTATAGTACGTGACTTTCATCTTATTGTGCGGTACTGTCATCCTATAGTACGGGACTGTCATCTTATTGTGCGGTACTGTCTTCCTATAGTACGGGACTGTCATCTTATTGTGCTGTACTATCATCCTATAGTACGGTACTGTCATCTTATTGTGCGGTACTGTCATCTTGTTGTGCGGTTCTGTCATCCTATGGTACGGTACTGTCACCTTATTGTTCGGTACTGTCATCCTATAGTACGGGACTGTCATCTTATTGTGCGGTCCTGTCATCCTATAGTACGGGACTGTCATCTTATTGTGCGGTATTGTCATCCTATAGTACGAAACTGTCATCTTGTTGTGCGGTACTGTCATCCTATAGTACGGTACTGTCATGCTATAGTACGGGACTGTCATCTGATTGTGCATGTGCAGTACCGTCATCCTATAGTACGGGACTGTCATCTTATTGTGCAGTGCTGTCATCTTGTTGTGCGGTACTGTCATCCTATAGTACGGGACTGTCATCTTATTGTGCGGTACTGTCTTCCTATAGTACGGGACTGTCATCTTATTGTGCGGAATTGTCATGCTATAGTACGAGATTGTCATCTTGTTGTGCGGTACTGTCATCCTATGATACGGTACTGTCACCTTATTGTTCGGTACTGTCATCCTATAGTACGGGACTGTCATCTTATTGTGCAGTACTGTCATCCTATAGTACGGTACTGTCATCTTATTGTGCGGTACTGTCTTCCTATAGTACGGGACTGTCATCTTATTGTGCAGTACTGTCATCCTATAGTACGTGACTGTCATCTTATTGTGCGGTATTGTCATCCTATAGTACGAGACTGTCATCTTGTTGTGCGGTACTGTCATTCTATAGTACGGTACTGTCATCCTATAGTACGGGACTGTCATCTGATTTTGCAGTACTTTCACCCCATAGTACGGGACTGTCATCTGATTGCGCAGTACTGTCATCCTATAGTACGGGACTGTCATATTATTGTTCGGTACTATCATCCTATAGCACGTGACTGTCATATTGTTGTGCGGTACTTTCATCCCATAGTACGGGACTCTCATCTTATTGTGCAGTGTTGTCGTCTTGTTGTTCGGTTCTGTCATCCTATAGTACGGGACTGTCATCTTGGTTTGCGGTTCTGTCATCCTACAGTACGGGACTGTCATCTGATTGTGCTGTACTGTCATTCTATAGTACGGGACTGTAATCTTATTGTGCGGTACTGTCATCCTATAGTACGGGACTGTCATCTTATTGTGCGGTACTGTCATCCTATAGTTCGGGACTGTCATCTTATTGTGCGGTACTGTCATCACATAGTACGGGACTGTCATCTTATTGTGCGGTACTGTCATCCTATAGTACGGGGCTGTCATCTTGCTGTGCGGTACTTTCATCCTATAGTACGGTACTGTCATCCTATTGTGCAATACTTATACCTAAGTTTGTGTAGAAAGTTTGCCAGTGAAAATCTGAATTCATTCATCATTAATACATCATCTCTGCAGTGACAATAGAAATCTAGAGATGATAATGGAACCTTTGTTAAGGTTCGACCAGTGAGAACGGCATTTCCTAGCAATGCAAACATTTGACAGAAAAATCTGCCCGGGCGTAAATAAAACGAATGCTGAATATGTTTGGGTTTTCATCATTTTTAAGAGCATCACGGGATTTCTTTTTAATCTAGAATTGAAAAAAAAATCGTTAACGAATCTGTCAGATAACAGCATAAACTGTTGCAATATCACGTACAACTGCCAGCATAACAGAGTAAAGTCAAACTACCTGACGTCATAGAACGCAATTATATTTCTCAAACTTTCTTGAACATTGATTGGCTCCTTAAATATCTAACAATGTAAAATAACGATTAATATTCTGTCAAACAGGGACAAAAACTCAGGGGAGATAATTCTAATAATTAGTATGACAAGAAGGACAACTCAGTTAACGTATTAACATATCTGGTATTACAACAAAAGACATAATGTTGATCATAATGTTGGTCCATTTATTAGGTTTAGATTGACTGTCATTGTATACGAATCTTGTTGATTTCCAGTTTATGAAGGTCCTGAATCCTTTTATGACCAGATAGATCTCGCTTCAAGGGAGCCTGAAAATATATACGATACAGCGACAGCTACCATGTAGTGACATCAATACATCTCTCTTACACCTGATGATAAGAGCAACTTGGGCAAGGTACCGTACTGGAGAGGTTATTGGAGAGTGATATAAGGATTATTCGGCCACTCCATCGATACCACCAGATTAGCAAGAGATTCCTGACACTAACAAATATAAACATATCTAATTAGAATCGTTATTTGTGAGAAGGAGAATATCCTGTTTGATTGTGTTGTCAAAACTGTTGACATTAGACTAAAGAAGGATAGTGTATAATCAGAATCCAAAGAAAAACCCAACATGTCAACAAAATCTTAATTGGAAATGGGATGAAACTAAGGGTAAATCCTAACAATCAACAATCACATTGTTCAGCAGGAAAGGTAGTGATTGTATATTATCTGTCAACTGGGTGAGGAAATCGCTTATATTGTAGGTAGTGCAAATTCATCGATATAAGTGAAATACAATCAATGCAATGTATTATCAACAGCAAAGGCGTCATCTGCACATCATCTATACATCATACTCCAAGCATCAATGTTCTCTACATCATCTGTAAATCCTACTCCAAGAATAACTGTTCTCTACATCATCTGTATATCATACTCCAAGAATAACTGTTCTCTACATCATCTGTACATCCTACTCCCAGAGCATTTTACAGTAGATAGACGGTATCATGGTCATCATTCTACAGTAGATAGACGGTATCATGGTCATCATTCTACTGTAGATAGACGGTATCATGGTCATCATTCTACAGTAGATAGACAGTATCATGGTCATCATTCTACTGAAGATAGACAGTATCATGGTCATCATTCTACTGTAGATAGACAGTATCATGGTTATCATTCTACAGTAGATAGACAGTATCATGGTCATCATTCTACTGTAGATAGACAGTATCATGGTCATCATTCTACTGTAGATAGACAGTATCATGGTCATCATTCTACAGTAGATAGACTGTATCATGGTCATCATTCTACAGTAGATAGACAGTATCATGGTTACCATTCTACAGTAGATGGACTGTATCATGGTCACCATTCTACAGTAGATAGACTGTATCATGGTCATCATTCTACTGTAGATAGACAGTATCATGGTCATCATTCTACAGTACATAGACAGTATCATGGTCATCATTCTACTGTAGATAGACTGTATCATGGTCATCATTCTACTGTAGGTAGACGGTATCATGGTCATCATTCTACAGTACATAGACAGTATCATGGTCATCATTCTACTGTAGCTAGACAGTATCATGGTCATCATTCTACAGTAGATACACTGTATCATGGTCATCATTCTACAGTAGGTAGACGGTATCATGGTCATCATTCTACAGTAGATGGACTTTATCATGGTCATCACTCTACTGTAGATATACTGTATCATGTTCATCATTCTACAGTAGATAGACAGTATCATGGTCATCACTCTACTGTAGATATACTGTATCATGTTCATCATTCTACTGTAGATAGACTGTATTATGGTCATCATTCTACAGTAGATACACTGTATCATGGTCATCATTCTACAGTAGGTAGACGGTATCATGGTCATCATTCTACAGTAGATGGACTTTATCATGGTCATCACTCTACTGTAGATATACTGTATCATGTTCATCATTCTACAGTAGATAGACAGTATCATGGTCATCACTCTACTGTAGATATACTGTATCATGTTCATCATTCTACTGTAGATAGACTGTATTATGGTCATCATTCTACAGTAGATAGACAGTATCATGGTCATCATTCTACTGTAGATAGACAGTATCATGGTCATCATTCTACAGTAGATACACTGTATCATGGTCATCATTCTACAGTAGATAGACAGTATCATGGTCATCATTCTACTGTAGATAGACGGTATCATGGTCATCATTCTACAGTAGATAGACAGTATCATGGTCATCATTCTACAGTAGATAGACAGTATCATGGTCATCATTCTACAGTAGATACACTGTATCATGGTCATCATTCTACAGTAGATACACTGTATCATGGTCATCATTCTACTGTAGATAGACAGTATCATGGTCATCATTCTACTGTAGATATACTGTATCATGGTCATCATTCTACTGTAGATAGACTGTATCATGGGCATCATTCTACTGTAGATAGACAGTATCATGGTCATCATTCTACTGTAGATAGACAGTATCATGGTCATCATTCTACAGTAGATAGACTGTATCATATTCATCATTCTACAGTAGATAGACGGTATGACTAGACTGATTTCGTCGAATTTTTTATCAATTTTATTTTGAGGCTGGAAACTGATGAAATCTACAAATATACCCCAAACGATTTGAAATTGATAGTTCTTCATTAGATATTACGGATATAACTCAAAAACAAATTTTAACAATATTTTTTTTATTATGTTATCATATATCATGATATAGAATTCTAGTTTTCTGATTTTGTTAGTAAGATCGATGTATATCGTGTTAATATATATGATAAAAGTGTTTATCATGTACATATTAAAAGCTATCACTGTCATTGTATTGAAGTTTTGTATTTTATGGTCACAGTGCAATAAATGAATATTAAGGTTAGGAAAGTTTCTATTAATGGTGAATGAATGTCTTCCTACATTTAATAATTACCTACAGATTGTCCGTAAACTTGCAATATTGTTTCCCTCACGAAGCTTTCTACGTTTTCACTAACAATCTTAGGATTTCCTTTTCTGATGCAATTTGATAGTTTTTTTAAAACATTATTCCTCGAAATTTCAATTTGTGTGTGTTTTTTAACATTGTCCTGAAAAGAGTAGTTCCCACTGTGATCGTCATGTGGCCACCGGAAGCAACCTACATTGTCCCAGTTTTTACGAAGTAGTTTTGGCAATTCAGAGAGCTTTATATCGTCGAGCAGGATGACAATGTTCATGTGTTCTCGCCCATGCCGGAAGGAATAACCACTAGTTACCTGCATTGCATATCTAGTCCATTCACAGTTAAGAAAATGATAGCTTACCACAAACACTGATTTATAACAATTATCTATTGCGTCCAAAATGTTGGTAGCTAAATCTTTACCGATAACAAAGTGTTTGTCTTCACACAAGAACGAAAGTCCGTCTAGGTCCAACTGTGGTACGAGTCGTTCTCGTACCCATTTGGCATCCTTGTCGGAATAAGATATGAAGGCGTAGTGTGTAAATGGGCCATCAGTAGGTTGTCTGAACCAGACTCTTAACTTGGCACTGTATCTCCATGACACCACTGAGAACACCGTCAACAAACAACTGACAAACACAAGAACTATGGATACAATGAGCCAGTTGAAAGAAGCACAGTCTATCTGAAATCTCTCGAAGTTTTGTTGTAGATCTTTAATCTGGATTCTATCACCTCGTGTTGTCATGCATTTCAGATTGTCTTTGTTATAAAGAACACGAGACGTCATAACCCAATGAAGAAAATCCAAATCCTCACAGCTACACACTAAGGGATTATTGTTCAGATTGACAAGGAATTGTTCCGATCTTTGTTTCAGCGAATCAATGATCTCACAATCGGACGGTGTTAGTCTTGATATATCGTTACCAGTGACATCGATGTACTCCAGGTGGTCAAGGCTCTCTACTGCTTCTCTTGGAAACACCTTCATTGCATTCTCCGCGATCAGTAAAACTCTCAAGGCATTCCTCTGGTCACGAAAGGTCATTGGATGCAATGTATCGAAATGATTCTCAGAGAGATCCACATAGGTAAGACTGTATAGTCCATAGAACACAGATCTGGAGTTGTATGAAAGGAAATCGTTTCTTAATCTACACTGTCTAGCTGCCACTTTTGTGAGATTCGTCAAATCAGCAAATTCAATTCATTTGTAATGATCACAGTTCATACCAGACACGTTTAATTCTTCTAGGTGAGTCAGACCTTTACCGTGGACATACGCCCTGAACTTACCTTCACGTTGATAGCTTATGTCCAAACACTTCAGAGAATTATTCAATGGCAAATGTACATTGTCTATAGCTTGACTAGTAAGTACGTAATTGTGACTTAAATTTAAAAACACTAATCTAGAAGGAATATAAACTGTTAATTCATGTTTAACGAAACTTGGTGTTTTCATCCACTGAATGAATCGCTTTCGTTTCGACCGACTAAGTATGTTGTTTGTGAGAGAGAAATGAGTAAGGGCAGGAAAATAACATTTGCTGAAAATAAAACTTGTTACTCGAAACATCTAAAATTTCAATACAGTGTCTGCTTGTCCATGACACGATGACAAAGACGGGGATATTGGAAATGGAGTTTCTAACAAGATAAAGACGCTTTACACAAATTGTTTTAAGATAAACAATATCAGATGACATTATTTTCACAGGATTTTCAAACGATCGGAAGTTGTCGGTTGACCTGATCTGTTCCATTGTTCGATTCCTCAATCCGTACAAAGCTTGTAAAACCTCACGGATACTGATTGTCCGGTGTGAATCAATGTCCAGTAAAGTAAGATTTCTAAATGGAGACAATGCATCCTTCTCTATAAATCGAATTCTAGAATCTATGGTGAGATGTAATATTTCTAAACTTCCCAAATCCTTGAATGATGTGTTTCGAATGGAACAAACATCAATACCATGTAAGTTCAAGGTTGTCAAATTCTTTAAACGCGAAAATCTTTTCCCAAAACTGAACTGTTCAAAAATGTCGATCGAAAGAGCATCGATGTTTGTAAGATACAGCAGTGCATCGATCGGATAAGATTTACTGGTATGGAAATAATTTCCATGCAGGTCCAAAACACGAAGATTGATCAGTGGCTTGAAAGTATTTTTGCCAATTGAACTCTCGAGCTTGTTACCACTAAGGCTGAGATACCGTAGGTTTACAAGACCGTCAAATGGTCCAAGTGAAATGTTTCTCATCCCGTTCTCTTCCAGCTTCAGTGATTGTAGATTTGGTAGATAAAGGAAGGATCGTGGTTGTAAGGTGACCAGTTGATTGTTAGCAAGATCCAGCTTTGTAACATTAACAGAGAAATCCTGTGGAACAGAGTTTAATCCACATCCACGACATTCCACGTCGTCTCCTGTAGGACTTACCACGCAGTCATTAGGGAATCCACTGGCACCACGCACTAAACAGAAATCACACAAACATCAACACACCTGTTAGTGTTGATCAAATATATCTTAACCATTACGTAAAATCAAAACGAATCATAGCGAAACATCAACATAAGACGACAAAATCGCAGGGAAAAACGATATCTGTACAAAGTCTGTCGACTTCAATATAAAATTATTAAGAATTAACTTATCAGACTTACTTGTCAATCTTAGTAAAAATCCGAGAACGGTTAAAGAGAAGATAGCCTTCATATTGACGAGACGGGCATTAATACTAAGTATGTTATTTAGCCTATAACTTCCGTGTTCTGTAGTAAATTTCCACTACTTGTATTCATATCGTCAATACACTTCTTCCTGGTTTAACAAATAATAACAAAGCGCACAGGTCACCCTGCCTGACGGAGTGACTTAATACAATGTTATTCCAGTATTCTGTATGTCTACGAGTGAAACAACGATATTGTTTCGTTTGGTTTCTGCAAAAGCTCAATGATTTATTAATTTATTATGTATTTTCCGTTCAGCTAACATAACATCTTGCACCTTCAAAAAACAATACTTCCCACAACACAAACTCTTCACACAAGCATTACACAACACCCCATTAATCTGACACAAAATCGGATTTTTTCTTCTTTTTTTTCTTTTTTAAACTTCAGTAGCTACCGGAAAATTAATCATGCTAATGCTAATTAGGTAGTCGTTTTCAGATTGTATATACAGCCTAGGAGACGATAGAGCGTGTTCGGTGTAAATAGGCACCTTGAAAATAGCAGATGTTTGCTCCAATTATGGAATATTCAACATACCCTTACTCCTGTATTTGTTTTGTGGGAAAATCTTCCTACAGAAACTGTGCCCCTCTATTGAATAATATTTTATATACGAGACTGAATTTATTGCAAAATTTATCCAAATAGGTCACTCGCAAAGTCTTTCAATTTCAATGTTAAGGTATATTGTCCTGTCTATAACACAAATTGATTGGCCATGTTCATTGTATTTACACACCAGAAAAGGACATCAAGGTCTGTTAGATAATCTTATCTCCAAACTCGACAAGGATGGTGTCAACCAGAAACTCGATCTTTGTAACGGTATCGTTTCTTTGTATATTTCTTCTTTGTTTTAGGAGAATTTTGCCCCAAATACGCTTCAGTATAGTTCATAACCATATATTTGTGCCGCCATTAACAGACAATCTCTAAAGCTTCTATAAGTAGACATAGGTATTTCAAAGGTTGAAAATGATGAAATTAGTTATTTCAATAATGCTTACATTTCATTCTCGAGTTTCCATACTTCCATAATCTGAATAGAATGTAAATTAGTATTCCAATATATATCGGTGATATATAGGACAAATACGTTACTAAATATTGAATAAACAGTAAATCGAATGGTGATTGATAATCAATTAACCATCTCTTAGACGCACAATTATAATATCACCTATTGGTCTCCATACCTCAAATAAATAATACTATTTACAAGCTAACGAACGTGAATCACATAACAAATGATTAACTATGATAACATGACTAAACGTGTATATATCATATTCACACACGCAAAACCAATAATAACTCAGTCATGCTGAGTGGACCTAACCGTATGCGAATGCTTGTCCGGTTTTCATCAGACATGAACATTTTTCAAACGGATAAAAAGCACGGGCAAAAACAAACGGGGATTAAACACTTGCCACTGTCAGCTTTCTGTGTTCTCATCTTTGTCACAGACTACGGTACACACAATGCTTCTTAGTACTCAATTAGTACATGTGACTGCTGTCAAGCTCCAAAAATGTCTCCACGGAACCCCTTGACGCAACTTTTAATAACGGCGCTAATGTAACAATTGTTACATTAAGCGTTGCGACCGTTACGCTTAATGTAATAAACTTATCTTTATCACATTAAGAGTTGCAATTGTTACGCTTAGAGTAATACAAAATAAATTATTACACTAGGCGTTGTGATTGTATTTGAATTACCGCTAATGTAACAATTTTTATATTGTTACGGAAGTACACTGCGTGTCGATTACAAGACGATATACTATATATAATGGACGGACGGACGAACAGACGGACAGGGTGATTCATATAGGGCTTCTGCATCTCGATGTGTGCCCCTAATGATACCCAAAATGACATAAGAATACAGAACAGAAGACCCAATATGTCCCCTTCATTTCGGACTTTATTGCACTAAGGACATTCTTAAATTTGTCAATAGTACAGTTTCGGCGCTTAATGTAATAAAAATAACTTTATTACATTAAGCGTAGCGGTTGCAACATTTATTGTAATAATTATTACATTAAGCGCCGTTATTACATTAAGAGTTGCATCACCCCCCGTGACTTTTGAATACTTACAAATGTACCCAGCAATGTGTTTTTTATTTACGGGCCTCGATCTCTTGTACATATTGTACAGTTTCACTTATTTATAGCTCAAAACATGGAGTCAGTTACCTTTAACTTAAAACATGGACATTCTTTGTATTAACATAGAACACCTTTATTTTTTATAAAGACCAGTCCCACATTTTTTGTCTCAGACAAAAGGCTTGAATCCATCATTATACAATTTATCATTGGTCTCCTTTTGACATTTCTACAACGACCTAACCTTCTCGCATTCAACCAAATAAACTTTATTCATCAAATATATCAAAGCCAAAGGTAACAGTATACCCGGAAGTGTTGTTATGTCCTATAGCTGTGTTATATGTATGAATAACATTTACATTGTGAAACACACAGAGCGTGCTATTCACCTGCTTGGTCCACACCTGTAAATGTATTATCACCTTGTACAACAAGAAAGCAGGAAATGTCTTTCACCTCTTTACTTTTAAAATCTAATTGATTTGTATGATAGTGTTTTAAGTGATGGTTTATCATTGCAACAATAACGAAACAACAACTTAGGATGTTTTCAACATGTGATGGCTAAAGGGGCGTATGTCTCCATGTTGCTATAATAAGTTATTCTACGGAGATTCGCAGAAAGAGAGATTCACCTTCAGAACAGGATGTTATATTGAAAGAAACAAGCGTTTTTGCCATTGGACTATATAAGTTCATGCATGTTAGGAGATTAATAGCCTTTCTGATGAAATGTCACTTTCTATACATGGAATTTTTAAAAGTGAACTAAAGCGTATTCTATTCTAATGATTATCAGGAAGTCGTTCGACCATCTTCAAAACTGTGAAAGTGGACAAATTACAACTACAGAAACTAGAGAGAACAGCATGAAGGGATTATCTCGTGGAAATTATGTAAAATTATCATCATGTGAATAGCGTGAGAATAGCGTGAGAATAGCGTGTGAATAGCGTGAGAATCTTTCTGTATAAACTGACACGGTTCAGAATTTTCTCATCTATTGAACTTATTCTTTAGTTTAGGTTTTCGTATCGACCATGTGTAGTTTTAATTTATAGCTATTTTGAAACAGGACTGTTAACTAGTATATTTGTTTGACATTGTTCGTTTTTATGTATTAGAACAATAGAGAGAACAAAATCTCGATTTACCTGTAGCTGTCTGTAATTACATGCATGCCACGTTTTAACTCATTGGAATGATGGCAAAGTTTTGAATATACGTATGTACTTGCCATTGTTCTAAAAATATGTGATATATGAACTTTACAAAATTAATTGAATCAAGGGGCGAGTGCACATCCCCATCTAACGTTTGTCTATTTTCGGTCGCTTTAAATTTTCTTCAGTCTCCCCCTAAACTTTAAAATTTAGGCTCTTTTGCAATTTAATTAATGATTTGGCTCTACTGAAGATTATCTGAAGATTATCTGCTGAAGATTATCCAAAGTATTAGAATGTGCTATTGACTTATGCATCTTCTGTGCAATCATATATAACAGAGGCCATTATGTTGTTAGGATCAAACAATAACAGACAGTTTTTTAAGAGCTCATTTTCTATTAAACATCTTTGGTAAATATTCGTTAAGGTCGTGCGGCTCAGCCAAGCGTAACATTATTATTATTACTATGTGCAATGCTAAATTAGGGAAGATATTCTTAAATATTTTGTTGTTATCTGCTAGGAATATCCTTATTGCAGCCAATTCTACGCATTGAGGGAAGTACTATAACGTATATATACATCATGAACATTTAGAATACGCAAGCAAAACGCGTGTGCGTTTAAAAAAATGGAAATGTAAAATGTCTCGTTTATCATTTTCAAGATAGTTATGTTATTCTGAGCTCGTACGAAACCGAACATGAAATTCTTACTTTAATTACTCTTTATACTGTGTTATGTAATGTATAATAATAATTCGGCTGTTTTTCTATTACTAGTACTTAAATATTAATTGAGTCATTAGTTGTGTGCAAGTGTTGTATGCAAGCATTAGTTTCAATATTACTATTCTTTTAGCTCTATGTGACGCCAGGACACCTACACTTACCTCATCCAGGACCATCTCAGTTACAAGTAAGTGACAGCACCGGGACCTTTGAACAATAAATTTAACCAACTCACTGGAGCACCAGGAAAGGTCTTGAGGTGGCTATTGCAAGCAGCGAAAATATAGAGTCTGCGATGTGGGTTACTCAACTTCTTTAATCGTACTAAGTTGATAATATGGAAATTTATTTAAAATAATTATTTGCATAGGTACTAGAATATTCAATTTGATATCTACATACATAGATTTTATGTGTTCCATCTCTACTTAAACTTTCTCATTATTGTAGTCTTGCTGAAGTTTATCTTTGTACAGACCTGTTGCTGCTTCATCCTAAGTGGAACCGCTGTGGATTACGATAATAGTACGGTAATGATACGGTAACAAAGGTTTGACGGAAAGCTACGAAGTACGCTTTGAAAATCTTCGGTCCTTTATGGCAATACGGTTTCTATAAAAAGCGGAATGTGTTTTGATTTTGTAAGAAAGACGATAGTTATGCTACAGTCTAGTATACTTTACTAGTTTTGTGCATTTTAAGACACAGTATATATTTAATCAAAATCATCATGGCTACTATCTAATCAAAATTGCATAATATTACAGTGTCTTTCAGTTTCTGAATAAGAAATTTTGCTTTCCAACATTAAAAGTCATGGATCTTCAAAGTTGGCCTGTCGGTATGTTAGTGAGTTATCTTTAGGCTAAATTAAGTGACATCAAGATTTATGTAATAATATCATAATCAAATGTTTGGAATCCCCTGCAATGATTTATGTACATATTATTCTAAA